CTGAACAAGCACACACCACACGTACGATGGCTGGGGTAGGGGCAGGGGCAGGGGCAGGGGCAGAGGCAGGGGCAGAGGGTTGTGCATTTTACAGAAAACTTTCGAGAAATTCTAGCGAACATTGTTAGTCTCGCGAATTTGGCGCCACACACAACTTTTTGCCATAAATCCAAATTTTCTCCTCATAGAGGTTTCCTTCCCTCTGGCGCATACGTACGAGTACTCGTATTTATTTGTTTTACTATAATAATCTGTGCCAGTACCCAGTACACCCAAAGGCAGGCACTTGAAAGCGGAAGTGCAAGTGCTGCGAAACTTCTTGTTTGTGTAAAAATAATTTTGGCTGCTCTTACAGAAATACTTTTGCTCTTACGAGTACGAGATGGTATTATCAGGAACATGTTTATGCTAAATGTTAGAGAAATGTTCTTGAAATAGCCCGATTATTTAGTTCGAGAGAGCATTACGGAATTATATAATTAGTTGTCTTGAATAATATATTTTCACTGGCATCACTCTAAATATAAGCCTGCAATAATATTTTGATGAACGAAAACTCCACCAAACTCGTACCAGCAGACTTTCAAGGAAAATAAAAACCAAATATAAATAAGCAGCAGATTAGAAATCACTGTCCAAGCAATCAAGGTTCCTGTCTATGCCACAACTTCACACATTGTACACATCATTCATGATTGGACTTCCATTGAAGCCAGCTCCATCATCAGCCAGTCCGTGAGTCAGTCCGTCAAGAACTTTATCATCTTTGCTCAGAACCATTGAAGCTTACACTCATCAACGAAATGCAGTGGGGGAGAGCGATGGGGAGGCGGAGGGAACACCAGAATAAAGGAAAAGGAAAAATACATAGCTGCACAAATATTATGGCACTGGCAATATTTACACTTTCCACGCTTTTAACATTTTGCTTTCGACTTTCCATTTTCTCACATTTTGGCACTTGCTCTATCCACCTCTCCCTCTCTCCTGCATGTCTATCCATCCATACATCTGTACTTCCAACCATCCATTCCGTCGACCTTTTCTTTGCACTTTGCTCTTCTTCGACGCTTCGTTTGCCAAAATAATATTCGTAAATAATTTTTGCACCTTGATGTGATTTGTGCGCAAAAATATTTTTCCAAATGATTTGTTTACTTATGTATTTACTTTTATCTGTGCTTTTGGCCAATTTCTGGCGTGAGTGCGAAAGCGACAGTGCGAGAGTGCTGGAAAGAGATGGCAAAAGCAGCAAAGTCGTATAAGGAGCTGCACCAGGAACAGAAACAGGAGAAGGAGCACTCACTGTAATTGTATTTGCTTTCGGAGCTTCCTCCGCGCCATTTTCCCGCCACGCAGCGAAAGTCAAACACAAATAAATAAACCGTTAAAGAGAAAGAGGCATGGCCATGGGCGGTGGGCGGTGGGCGGTGGTTGTCGGGGGAGCCGAAGCAAATGTGCGCTGGAAAATGCCGATGCACATTGATTAAATCAAACAAAAAGGAGGCAAATAAGAAAATTGGATAAAGGCAACACAACAGTTTTAGTTCATCAATATGAAAACGCTTTTGAATAGTCAGAATTCTTATCGTCCTCAGTTGCCGATAGATGATACATACAGATATAGAAATACATACAAGCTGTAGTCTTAATAGACATTCGGCTTCCTACTAATAAGCCTCCAATCTCAGAGGCTCTTAAAAAGACACATACACGTACATATGTACATATGTACATATGTACATATATCTCTATAGACGCGTATAATTTTACGCTATTCCATGAAATAGTTCAAAAAAATGCGCTCCAGAGAAAAAGGTATATTTAAAAGGCATTTAGCAGAAAGAAGTTGGGTGTGATATGCACTCTCTTCATTGGGATCCTATTTGGTATATCTTCTCTGTTGGTTTCGGCAAACGTGCTACCAACTATCCATAATTCGACAAACAATTTTCATGCCACACGAGCAGTCAATGGATGCGATCCACATAGAGAGGAGTGGGAAAAGCGCGTGCATGTGTTAAAGTCGGGAAAACGTGCGTGACGCGGATAAGTCTATAATTTAAATGTGTTGTAACACTTTACTGTAATGGTCTTACGTATGTACGGTACAAATTGTCGGGTTCAGGCCACGGGGAAAATGACTGAATAAAATTTTCAACGGACTGCGTCAGAGGGCTATAAACAGCTTTAAAGTAATCGAGTCGCACAATAAGCATAAAATATAATGTTCATATGAGCAAACAGTATCGAAGAAGAGTGCACTGGCAGAGGGTAAGCCGAGCTAAGGCGAAAATAAAATAAAACTCCATGCGAAAGTTCTTTGCTGAAAATTGTTTACCACTGCCGATGATACTGAAACTGATGGTCATGATGATGTCATCAGCACTACGCGAGGGTGTTCCCGAATTATGCATCATGGTGAATGTGAATGTGTCCCCATTGAAGGATTCCCTGTTTTCGTATACGCACACCACCCCCCAGACACACCCTCACAAAATCAATAGCAATAACAGGAGTTGGAGTTGGAGGAGGAGAAGGAGCTGAAGCTGGTGCTGGAGCTGGAGCTGGAGTAGTCATCGTTGAGATGAGCCGCAGACGTCGCCGACTCTCCGGCCAGACGGGCCGCCAATGTGGCGCCAATATTTTTAGCAGTCTCCCTTCCGGTGGGGGTTGATTTTCCTCTGTTCCATCGGTACTGTTCTCCTTCCGCCTCCTGTTTCCCACCCCGTATGTGTGCGGTTCCGTCTGAACTTTTGATGCTTTCGGTTTCGGGGCTTTCCTCTGATAGTTTTCACAGTTGCTCTCTGAACTTTTCATGCAGACTTGGCTACTGCTCCTTTTTTCAGCCACTGACTCATGTGCAATGAAATGTTCTACTCTTATTTCCAAACATTTCCCTTTGATGCTCGAGCTCTCCTAATGAGATATTTGTGGCCTCGAGGAGTGGAATTTTTAAATGAGAGGGGCTCGAAAATATTGAAAACTTTGATTAAAAATCCAGATACATTCTTATGGTCTTTGTCTAATTTTTTACTCCCTGCGGCTAGCGGCAAAATTTTAATTTTCGATTTCACTTTCATCTTTTAATTGGCCTTTGGTGTTAATTGAATAATATTAATTACTAACTGACAATCACAGGTGCTTTTCTACATCCAAAATGTAAGTGGTGTAGACATCGAATCGACTCTGGGCAACCGGAGATGTTGAGGTAAGCGGCAACATTTTTATAAGACAAAGAAATTTAAGAAATTTAAATGGTTTTTAGGAAAAAAAAAACAGTGGCAATATTAGTAAAGTACAAAATTGACACAATATATTTAGGAACCATTTACTACGAAATTCCATACTCAAGGAGAACTGGCGTGATATTTGTTTGTGGATTTTCTGCCCGTTTTCTTACAATATTTCACCATTTGTGGACTTGTAAATTTACAGATTTTTACATACATCTGTCCATGTTCCAAAGCTATTATTTATATAATTTAATTAAATTTCTTTCTGGGCTTTTGAAACATCTATTAGGTTTCTCCTTTGTATCCAAACAAATTTGATTACTACACACCCAAATGGTCCCCACTAATTAAATAATAAATTTAAGTAGTGACATGAACAAATCTTGTTGTTGGCGTTTCCTCCCGGTCCATCCCGGTCCGTCCCTCTGGCCCTGTCTCTTTTGGCCAGCACATTTGTTTTATGTCATCGTCGTTTCATAAAAAGCTTTTGCAGTGGTGACGATGCCAGTGTCGCCCCGGCGACAAGGACGACAAGGACAACCTGCACTTGCATTCTGCCATTGCATTCACGATGCGCTTCTCCTTCTGCCACTGTTTCTGCTTCTGTTTCTGTTTCTGGTCTGTGGTTCCTGGTAATTACTCAAGCAGACGTCGAGCACTCGTGGAGGACTTGTCGGCTGGCAAACATAATGAACATATGCGGCACAGTGGCATAAAAAGGTTTGCTCCTCCACTCCAAATGTCGCCGCATAGCGGGAAGTGGGCGAATGCAGCGATTGCACAGAAGAGGCGTGGCCAGGGCATTACGCGCACATAATTCTAATTAGTGGCATATGTCAGCGGAGAGGATATCTCATAGACCATGTCCCTCCTTCCTCTCTCCACACGCTCAAACACAAAAATTATGTTATTACAGCTTTCGAGTACAAGGGGGATACGTTACGCGTGGCCGGAACCATGGATTAGGAAACCGAAGCTTTAGTTACCCTTGCATGTTTTTATAATTTCCAATACGTGCATGACATAGTTTTTCAAAGAGAATTCTATGGTACAGACACACCTACAGGCCTATGTCGTCTTGGGCGTTGGGACACTCGAAGCGGTGCCGCTCTTTGCTCACTGTCCGATACCCCCAATCGATACCACTAATGCTTCTCACACAGCACAATGTAGAACGTTTGAGTCCACCCATTATATTAAAATATATATAAATATTTTTTTAGTTTAGTTTAGATCTTTGAGCAGAAGCTCTTGGTCTTAATGAAAATACAACTTGGAGATGTATAATTACATTATTTTCTTATGGTCATTCACTATGATTGTACGTTTAATTTTCGCGTATCTTCTAAATTATAGATGCCACAGATTTTTAGTCCATTGTGTGGCTGGAAGGGGGTGGGGCAATTGTAACAGCGAAATCTAACAGGAGTGTGGATAACCAGATGGATGCTGATCATGAATATATATACTTTATATATACTTATATACAAATGCAATAATCCAATAATTGGTAGAAGAAGCTCAGATCGATGTCCGTGGTGCTGTAGTAAATTTCAGTGACAACTGTGGCTGCGATTCATCGGAAGACGAGGTGCATAGACGCCCCATGAGCTGCGGCGTTAGTCTATTTATTTCTCAATATCAAGTAGGCTCTTATTAACCAATAGTTTTGCTGTCAATTTCAGACGAGTTTCTCCAAAAATAGATATTTCGCAGAAAAATTGTACTAGTAGGAAAACCAATCCGAAAGTTTTGTTCCTGGCAGAGACTAAAATATACATACAAATATACAAAAATGTCCAATCTCGAAGATTTCTTTTCCAAAAAGGATAACAAAAAGTCAAAAAGAAGTGCCGAATATTTGGCCGCTGAGGAGCTGTACAAAACGCTCGAAGAATCAACGAAGTATTCGTCGGAGGACAACTCCAACCTGGAGGATGCCTTTCAATCGGAGGCATCGGGAACTGATTCTAAAGGAGCCTCAGCTTCGCTGAAATTCGGGATCCGTTTCTCAGATGAGGCCTTCAGCGAAGAGGATGAATGGTCTGACTTCACCGAGGAGAATCGTCGTCAATTTACTTACGTGCCACGCACCTTATCGATGGCGCTTACATCCCCTGTCCCTGCACCTGCCCCATTCGCTGGTGACGATCTGAAGGAGGAGCCGGAGCAGCTGGACACTGGAGGTGATGGCGTTGATGTGGGATCAAAGGATGGGGAACGCACGCTTGCCACAACATGTCCCTGGCAGAAGTCGGAGCAGGATAGCAAGGGACAATCAGACAGGAAAGCGAATACCCCGGTGGTCAAGAAACAAATCTACATTCCCCCGGCTCTCCGTCAGAGCCAGGGCGACTTTAACAAACGCAAGGCGCAGCCACTTCAGCGCAAGGCTCCGTCTACGATGCCGTTCAAGCCCCAAGCCCCCGATCTCAATAGCCTGGAGTACTTTCCGTCCTTGAGTGACTCAAAGATATTGAAGCGCCCCAAGTAACAGCCGGGACGCCTCTACTTGTTCTGTTCAAATTTAAAATCAACCATAGCTCCCTTAATAATAAATACAACAAGAAGACTCACTCTCCCTATTTTCACCCTGTATATTCTGACAGACAAATTGGCACTCCATAGACCCATTAGCATTACACGACTCGCTGGTGGTCCCCGATGTGTCATTAGCTCTAAACGAGCCAAATATTTACAATAAAATCGGCTATAGCCTTAAATGCACCCCGTGGACTTCGAGCAAAACCCAACCCAACAGCAGGCCTGAAAAATTGAACTCCCCAATACTAGCCTGGTCTGCAGCAATCGGCAAGCTAATGTTGGCTGTAATTTTGTTCTCTACTTCTTTTGGCTAATAAATTGAGGTTGATGGAAGTGAAAGTGGTTTGAAAATGAATGAACAAAACGGCTTCGTTATTCAGTAAGCTAGATGTACGTAAAAGGTACTTTTTATTCCCATTGTAATGTGAGTTTAATGTTCTCATGCTACAGCTGGCTTGACATGGGATTACCAACTGATACGAGCACATCATTGGTTTTAATATAATTTATTCATCATTCTGTAGAGGATACAAAATGAAACGGAAAAAGTTAGTTGGGATGGAGCAGCAGAAGGCATTGTTGATTGGAGGATTGGTTGATTGGGTTGGATAAGGCGTGGTTCGTGGGAAGATCAAAGTCGAGTTTAGCAAGAAAACTTAAGTTTGCCATTTGTTCCATATGAGTAATCCATTTTGGACCTATGTAATATAATATTATTTTATACTTAGAAAAATGTATTATCCACTTATTTCTTACATACATCTTTGTCGGGTATTACTGATTGTAAGCTCGTCCAAAGTAGCGGTCCAGGGCAGGGCGTACACTACATCTTGCCCATTTTGGTGGCCATGTCCACAATTACTTCTAGATTACTCTGCAAAGTCTTCACTTGGTTCAGTACATTCGCGTCCAGTTGCATGAGCACCTCACGGTTCACCTGCTTCATTTTAAGAGGTTTTACCATGAACACGCCCTTTTTGGTGGGTATGTGTACGTCGGCACAGTCCTCCCGCCGATCAATCTGAACAGCCAGCGGGCTGCCTCCACTGGACAGCACCAACTCTCCGGGGCGTGGAAAACGTAAAAAAGGCATGGGTGGCACTTTCTGTGGGGTTCTTCCACGGTTAAAACTACCCCTGTCCATCGATTGTATGAGTGAGCGCGGCAGAAGGGAGGTCTGGGGAGTACGCGAACGTCCGCGAGCGGTGCTGATCGAGCTGCTGCGTGCTCGGCTGGTTGGTGGCTCGGGAACTGAAGAGGATAGCTGTGAGGCTGTCATAGTAGCAAGTATTTGCATTCACTTACCCTTCCACTTGTAGTCGGTGAAATATTTCAGCTTCAGATTCAAAAACTCCGACATTTTCATCTCAAGCAAATGATTGTCAGTCCGGGCGTGGATGAGCTTGATTTGAGTGTCCACCTGATTCTTGGCGCGCTTCTCAAGCTCATCGACCTGCTCCAGAACGGCATCGATCTTGATTTGAGTTAGGCGTACCTTCTCCTCTTGGTCGGCTTTCTCGCGCTTCGCCTGACGCGACACAATTCGGGTGCGAGGCATCTTTCTGAACTTCCGATCGACTTATGAATTATGATACTTGCTACAATAATTCTAACGAATACAATAATTCACAGGCTACTTGGTTATGAAAAAACATTAACTAGTGCATTATTTCTGAACTGAACTTTATGGAAACATACTAAAATAAATTACATCTAGATACGATTTATCACGTTGAATGAGAAACAAAACTCAAGGATAGATCGATTTTATCAGTAAAATTGTTGTTTTTTTTATCTTATTTCCATACATTTGTATGGAGGGTTTATTTTCACAAAATATTCATTTAATTTTTGCATTCATCTATTAGATCCACTGACCATCATTGGTCTGTGTCCACGACAGCACGGATAACTCCATGATGTCCTTAGTAGTTTTTTTTTCTAAGTGTCGAAGCTAGTTTTAGCTCTAAAGCCCTCCAAAAAAGAGTATTCAGAAAATGTGTGAGGAAAAAAATTACATCAAATAATTTATTTACACCAGTCTTATTTCTTGTAGTTTTTAATCAAGAGATGTTCGCTAGAGAACGGCCCTTTTTTGGGCACATTCCAATTTGGTTCCACTTCTGTCCAGAATGTAGTTTCTTCTGATCCAAGGTCTCGCGATTGATTTTGGTAATCGGTGGTGGATCCTACTTTCCTTCTAAGCAGGCTAACAGTGTCCCCCATAGGGCCCATAGCAGGAGCAGCAGCCATATGGTCCGCACGGGCCGCAGCAGTGATTGATCGACCGGAACCACTGGCCGTTGTAGGGTCCACACAGGAGGCACGGTCCCAGACCACCAGTAGGTCCACAGCAGGTGCCGGGCATTGAACGGAAGCAAGGATTGCACATCTTAGGAGTTCCTTCTGCCAAATAAAAAAAAAATCAATTCTTTATTACACATTTTATTCACTTTTTTTTTAAATAAATATTTACGTTTGCCTGTTTACGGAAGTAGGATTAAAAAAAAAACAAAAAATTTTATTTTTTTTCCCAAAATATGTTTATCGCTTGAGATCTCAGACTAGAATGAAAATCGGTGGAGCTCACACAGGCTCGAGCATTCTACAAATCAAGGTAAATTTCAAGGCCTACCTATTTGGGGGAAATTTGGGGATATTTATTACAATTATTACTATTCTCTGATATGGAGGGTTCCCCTCCATCGCCTCAATGTCATAATTTAGCTGGAGGCGCAACAAGTCGGGAAAAGCTGGATATGGTACGCGACTCATTCTTTGTTTCGTCCCTCGCTTTTTATTGTTTCAGTAAGAGCAGAGTTTTCTTAAGCATTTCATGAGAAGGGAGAAGTGGGAGACAAGTACACGCAAACATATATTTCATCCTGGCCGGGATTCCATATTCTGGCTGCCGGCCCTCCACTTGAGCTGAACGCTGGTTGCGTTTACTCTGGACCAGGACTGGGATTCCCCCGTCAAAGTGAAGTAAAGTCATTTGACAAGTTTTGTCACGTGCGTCACATGCTGGAATGCTTCCTCGGTCCCTGTTTCCCATTGCTGGTGAGCCTTACCCGGGCTTCTGCACATTTCAAGCAATTTTCCAGGCATGCCTTGTTGCTCTGGTTGTTGTCGCCATTGTTTCAAAATTGTTGCGCTCACGTTAATGTTGTTCTTGTTGTTGACCCGGTTTTCCTCTTATTTTCTTTTTATTTTCCCGCTTTCACAGCAACATAGCGACGTTCGGTGGTCGCCTAGGAATGGCGTTGAGGAGTCGTTGTTTGCTCAAATGTGTTTGTGATTATTTAGTTATGGCATCTAATTGAGTTTTGTGTTTGTTTGGGACTTGGAGAGGGCGAAGTTGTGGTGCTGTGCGGTGCTGGGCTGCTGCTTATGCGACGGCTAATTGAGTTGATTACTTCAACAGTTCTCACGTTGTCGTAGGATGGAAGGGCACACGAATGGAATGAAATGGGAGGTACACTGAGAGCGGGGCACTCCCCGTGCTGTGTGGAATTTATACTCATTGATATAGCATAATTAACAGCTTGAAAGTTTTCTTTTTTGCCTCACACATTCCGCATATTTGTACAGAATTATCTCATCTTTCTATCACTTTACACTCCTTCAGTCTCTTTCAATATAAGCTCTGCCGCTCCTTAAGTTTAGCTCCATGGTTTAGTAGCCTTGCCTGCTTTTTAAGCCGTACTCGTACATATATGTATGTTGTAGATTCCGTTCCGTTCCGTTCCATCAACCCACAAGCTCGTCCTAATGCCCCATCGCGTGCCGTTCTCGTATTACAGCATTGCATACTTGCAGGCGTGCAGCTGTTCCCATTCGATGTGGACTCTGGGGCGACTTTAAAGAAACGTCAGACCAGACCCGAATACGTTGTGACTGTGAAGTTTAATGTTACGTGTTGATGTTGCCTTTTTTTGATTATTTTCAGTTCCGTTTGGCTGTTCTTTTTATTTTACATTTTTAGTAACGCCCTCGGCAGCCTGCTGAGAAGTTCAATGTCCGCCATTTTTCAAGCGTCCGTGCAGCGGAAGTTTAGCGATAACTTTTTTGTTGCTTATATTTTTGATTTATTTATTTGTATTTAAACGAAGGCATCTAGAGTTGAACGGAACTCCATTAAAATTGCAGGGCCCTTCTTAAACCTAACCAGGAGAGGTTCGCCCGCCACTTGACTGCTGAAATAATCCAGGGATAAAGTACACAGATGATGAGGTATACATAGGTATAGGAGCAGTGCTTTCAGCCAGACAAAAGCCAGCCCACTCAGTCATACATTCAGTCAGTCGATGGCATCCTTATCTGTTGTTGTCCATACATCCACATCCACTTCCACATCCACAACAACATCATTATCCTTGGGAAGGAATTAGTGCGAGTCAAGTGAACTCTATCACTCACCCCCTCTCTCTCACTTTTTCCTCTCTCTCTCTCTGTCTCTCTGCCTCTCTCTCTCTCTTCTTCTCTGGCTTTCTCTGTGGCTCAACAGCGAAGCATAACTTATGCCCATTGTAGTTATGCATTGAATGTTTTATTGAAATGTACAACCCAACAAGTCACTCAGTCCTCAGTCAGGCAGTCATTCACTCTGCCATCCAGCAGCCAGCTAGGCAGCCAGGCAGCCGCCAATCGAATGCACAAAAACCTCTGCCATGTGAAGACGTTTGTTGATTTATAAAGCGCTGCATGCAATTATCCGCTCAAATGGAGTTTGTCTATTGCCAATAACGCATCCCGGGAGAAAAGAGCATTGTGTACGTGGGGTATTGTTCCGTTTACGGGGGCAAAAAGCAGTATTATGGTTTCCACAAAATTTTCCCTCAAAACTCTGGAGTCTCAATCGGACTGTTTGGATGGACAAAAGAATTTTTGGCGCTCGTCAACAAGTGGTCTATTAAACGAAACTGCATACGAGCCAAATGATGAATGAACTATAGTGAATGAAATAACAGAGATTGTTGATCCAGTGACTAAAGTGGAAAGCGATAATTCAATTTCCATAAAACACGCGGGAAGGCACTGCCATCTCTGTCTCTTAGCACAAGCCGATCTCGCAGGATTTCGCTATACTGCCCGTGAGAGATCACTTCAAAACGACCAGTGAAATAGTAGAGAAGTAAAAGCAATAAGTCGTTTGCTTGATTCCACAAAGTATTCAATTTAGTCTCCCACATTTTAAAAAATATCGAAAAATTGCCCCAACATTTGCCAAGAGTCTCTATTAACAACCAATCATTCAACGACCCTTTGCATTCAGTAGTTGATATGATTTGAAAGCACCGCCACTGCATCGATATTTGTATATATAAACACACAACATTCGAATCTATTTTTTTTCCCATCAGCAAATTAAATTGATTTTCCACTTTGGACGGCAATAGTTTGCAATTATACAAAGAGGTTTTTTTAAGGCAACAAGTTCGAGCAAACAAATTGGAATTCAAGTGCTTGAATTTTCTGAAGACATGAAAATGAAATTCTTGAAAAATGGGCAGAGGGTCAGGAACAAATTCGCAACATTTTCCTCTGGTCGTAAATCACTTAATTAATTAATCTTAATTTGAGGCACCAGAACAGATGTCTCCACCTACACATAAATCTTATAAATTGACCCTTTAAAGTGTCGTAAAATGCATGTTGAGCGAGAGAAGTTTTCAAGACATTTAACCCAGAATGGACCTCGGCCCAAACTGGCTGAAAGAGTGCAAGAAAAAGTTTATAATTAAAACTTTACGCACGTTTGGCTAAGTAAATAGCACAATAGACGCAGACGCACAGGCGCTGCCAACACTAACGCCAACACAAACACAAACACAAACGAAAAACACAAACAAGATGGCTTTGGTTTCGGTATTTTTGGTACGCATGCAGCGTACGAGAATTTTGTGCTGCATACTTAAGTGGACGCCCTCTTGCGCATACACCACACCCCAGACTCAAGGAAGAACATATGCCAGAACCGATGGAGTCCTGTGGGGCAGGGAAAGGAAAATACAGCCAGTGACACTAATTATGTGACCAGTCCCTTTCGAGGGAATTCACTAAAAACTTCACATTTAGTTTTACAGAAAGTGCGATTTAAATCCCCAAAAACTACTTAAACTTTCGTCTGTTAGCCCTTTACACCCAACATTTTTTTTCCTTGCCACTTTAGTGATTATGTTGAATCTTTTTGTCTTATAAATAATGTATTATTTATGAAGAATACGAGTATAACCCGATGCCATTTTATTCGAATGAAGAGATTCCTTTATTGAATTTACAACCAGAGTTTAAGAACAAAATTGAATTGAATACCCAAGCTGCACTCAATTTCAATCGTCCCGTACTTAATGGATACATACCATATCTTGCAGCTATGTAACCAACTTGTAACAAGCAAACATATTATTCATGGGGAGTGCCGCCCGTAAAAACAACAGGAACAATGACAACAAAATTGTAAGCCAAATGAAAGTTCATATGTAAATGTTTTCGCCATGTTTTGTTTGTGTTAGAGTGTGGCCAGCCAGTTTGAGTTTGGTCAGCTGATTGTTTGCTGCTGTTGTTGCTGCATAAATAAATGCAAATGCGGCTGGAAGGGCCAGGGCCAGACTGCTCGAGGTTTTTTCAGTTTGGCTTTAAATGAATTTGGGAGAATTTTAATTGCTCTGATTAAATGATTTTCGTGCCTGGCGTTGGAAAAAACTTTTAATTAAGTATTATGAACGCTGTAAGCTAAGATATTGTTTAACAAATGTTTGCGAAAAGGCTGAGGCCGCAAGCATTGCGGCCTCTCAACGGTCAAAGGCAGAGATAGGGCCATTTTCGAGTTAATTGTCAGGGAAAGGCTCGTTGGCGTTCGGTTGTTGCCACTTTATTTTTGTGAATTGTATGTAAATTATTGTAAATTGTTGCGGTTTTGTCTTTTGTGCTGCACAAACTGGTCATACATGCAAAGTACCCTGTGCGACGGGCAGGCATGCTCAAGTTCAGTGACAGTGTTGAAAGTTGCTAAAGGATTCATATTCAAAATAGCTTAATACAAATACTATTAACTCACAGCAATTACGAGTACTTATCAACGCGTGACCGCTGGGAGAAATCGATATAGTAAGCGATAAATCATTCGAATAGCTCACACCTGGGTATCGTATAGTCTACCCGCTGCGCAAACGGTTCTTCTGTTTCGCGGCATTAATATTTTTCTCTTTTTCTGTAGGCCAGCCTGTCGCTTTCAGTGGCTGTGGCCCATTATGGCCAGGCCTGTGTTTAAAGTTTGTTGTTCTGTCGCTGTCTCCGTTCTGTTTCTGGCAAAAACATTTATTACACAATTCGTAGTCTCCCGCCTCTTTCCCTAGACCCACAAAAATTGTTAATTTCATATACATATATGTATGTATGTATGCGTATGCGTACTGTGTACTTGATCGGTGTCCTCCATTTCATCCAAGAGGCAACTTCATTAATTCAAAAAATGGGTGAGAAAATGCATTTTTGGTAGGAGTATTTTTTGTCGGAAAAGCATTTGGGTATTTTCCAGACTTTTGATT